TAAGACGTTCCAGATTTCTGTAACGAGCGAGCGATCCGTAAGATCCTAGGACGTCTGCCGCTATAATAATTCCATCTTTGAATTGTATGCCAATGACAGATGTGCCAGTTATTATAGGAGACATGTAAATAATAGAATGAGTTAAAGTAAGCACTTATCATATCTTCATACTATTTCAGAAATTTATCTACCAGTCTTAAGTATTTTGAGTTTCACTTTACTTTGTCGCTCTGTAAAAGAGAAGATGACATGCGAGATTTGCATCATCACAGGAATGTACAGAGAAACTTTAAACTAAGCGGATGGAAACGTTTGTAAATTATCGGATGAAAACGTACTATGATTTCTGAAACCAACGGTGCCGTACTCGCTGCCGGGAAAGTGATAAAATGCGTTGCCACTTCTGGAGCTCCCTGATAGAGTCGCGGTCGTCGGAATTCCTGGCTTCGGCCTGTCCGCTGTCCCTCTCTCTCGCTCTCCCCTTTCGCACTCGCTTCCTCTGCTCTTCCTCGTCGTTCTCGGCTACTCGTCTCTGACATCGATCACTACGCACTTTCCTCGTCACACCTCCTCGCCTTGAGTATCGGCGACTCGAGTTTACTCGTCGTACCTCCTCAGAGGGAAAACACCACCACTGCACCCGTCGCTCTCTGTAAGGTTAATCGTCGCGATACACGACGCGATGATGACGGCCATGACGCGCGACGGCGAGAATGACGCAATCCCGACACTGGAATATCACCACTAATGTAGCACATAACCTGACAAAACCGTCTTAAGTCGACTATTTGGTCGACTTGAGCAAGACTGGCTCAAGACAAATCTTAAGTAAGAACTTAATGCCATTTCGCAATCCCCGGTAAATTCTTGTAAATCTTTATCACGATTGGTCAAAAAGCTTGGATTCCCGAACATTGCCGAACATTGCTCTCTTTAAGGTTAATCGTCGCGGTACACGACGCGATGATGCTCGTCGTACTTCTTCGGAGGGAAAACACCACCACTGCACCCGTCGCTCTCTTTAAGGTTAATCGTCGCGGTACACGACGCGATGATGCTCGTCGTACCTCCTCGGAGGGAAAACACCACCACTGCACCCGTCGCTCTCTTTAAGGTTAATCGTCGCGGTACACGACGCGATGATGCTCGTCGTACTTCTTCGGAGGGAAAACACCACCACTGCACCCGTCGCTCTCTTTAAGGTTA